CTGACCTTGCGGTTCACAGTCCGATTCATAACCACTACGCTACCAGAGCTCCTTCTTTATCTAGTGCTTCATACTAATCAGTTACCTTTGTTTTTTTTGTCACTTTACAGTTTACAAAGCATTTTATTGCCTGTGAGCTTACACTTCACAGTAACACTTGATAACTTATGTTATCTTCATTTCAGATCTCCAAAATAAATCGTCAGTATGTTTGTGTCACTACTGCCAGCTAGCATTTTGCTCCAAACCATCACCACTTGTCTGGGCTCCTACAGTAGCTACTTAATTGGGCTTCCATTTCCCTCATTGCCCCCTCTATCCATATTTTCCATAGCAGCCCAAATAATCATCTTAAAAAGTAAATCAGATTATGCCATCCCTACCTAGAACCTTCTGTGACTCCCCACTGCTCTTAGGACAATTGTGAACACCTTTCAGTGGCCTAAATTATCTGTCTCCTACCTCTTGCTCCAGTCTCAATTGACTGAGCCATACAGGCCTTTGTACTTCAAGCAGGCACCTTTGCCCTGCCTCGGGCATTTTGCATAGGCTGTTTCCTCCCCCTGGAACACTTTCCCCCTGCTTTTTGCCTACCCATTCTTCAACACTCCTTGACCATCTATTGTAAATCAGGGCCCCAAACCTCATTTCTCAGTGCGACTTTTAACTTTCCTTTCATGCTCACATTCTGAGTGATAAAGGATGACATGTCTACTGCCTGTCTCACCCAGGATGCATAGCTTCTCAAGGGCTAGACTGTTGTGTTCATTCAATATCTGCAAGGCTTAGGGCAGTACCTGGGACACAGTAACACCTAGGACTCAAAAAGATTGAGCAACTTGGTCAAACTCATATTATTGACTTGACAGTTACATGTTATTAAAGCCCTCTAATGCACCACAGGTTTAAGATTATAGGTGAATGGTATCGTCATTATTCTGAGACACCATCTTCCCCATCCCATTGTCCTGAAGAACCATGTGAGAGAAGAAAGAATTTTATCAGCTGCATCTCAGTTACAAAAAGGAGGCTTATAGTTAGGTGCTGTTCAGTTGGCTCTAACTCAGAGCAATCCCATGCACAATAGAAGGAGACACTGTCTGGGGCTGTTTCATCCTCACAACTGTTAAGTGTGAGTCCATTCTTGCAACCATATGTCAATTCATTTCATTGAGTGTCTACCTCTTTTCAAAGACTCTTTACTTTTCCATGCTTGATGTCCTTTTCCAAGGACCAGTCCCTCTTAACAACATCTCCAAAATATGTAAGATGAAGTTTTGCCAGGCTCATTTTGAAGGAATGTTCTGGCTATACTTATTCCAAATAGGTGTTTGGCCTCTGGCAATCCATGGTACTTTCCATATTCTTCCCCAACATCATAATTCAAATGCATCGATTCTCCCCCAATCTCTTTTATTCATTGCCCAGCTTTCACATGCAATGTGAAAGCTCTGCATTTACTAGCTGTGTGACCTTGGGCGAATGGCATTACTTCTGTCTACCTAGACTTCCTCATCTGTAAATGGAGGATGATATATATAAAACACTTAAACACTGCCTATTACACAAGTGTGGCACTGTGGGATAATTCACTGGACTGCAGGGTTGGTTTGAACTGCAAGATCAGCGGTTCAAACTCACCAGTCACTTCAGAAACCCTATACAGGGTTGCTATGAGTTGGAAATGACTCAAAGGCACTTAAAAACAACAACATATTCAGGGTGGCAGTATATAGAGAGATTTAAGATGATACTCTTTCATGATTTTGAAAAATAATACAGTACATGTGATTTTAAAAGTTAAAAAATATCCAAAAGGCTATGATGAAAAATGTCTTCCTCTTCTATCAATGCCCTTATTCTTTCTTGTCCCCCACTTCTCCCCAGAGGAAACCATGGGTACTAGTTTATAGGGATCTTTTCAGAGATGTTTTATGCATATACAACTGCATGTGTGTGTGAGTGTATATGTATGTGTGTTTGCTTACATACATACAGGTCTCAACCACCTACATTTTTCTGGTTTTTGTTTGGAAGAATTCAGTTTTTTGTAGGGCTTGTTTCGGATTTTTCAAGTGGAGGGGCTGGTTTTATCTTCTGTTTCTGTAGGATAAGAGCAAGAGAATCTGGGTTGTCTGTGGCTCAGAATGGGGCCGTTAGTGATTTTCCAGAACACCTGGCATTTGTGGTTCTGTGCTGCAATTAAACTGTTTGTTCCTGCTCTAGCAACATGTGCCTTCAGAGTCCGGGTGCCCATTTTCAAGGTTAAACCTCTGTCCGAACGTCAGGGAGGGTTCCAGTGCTGTGAATCTGCAAGAATGCTGAGAGCCACAATCAGTTCTGGACTCGAGTGATTAGAAAGATGTAAAGCACTACAATGCTGGAAAATTGCTCCCTAGCACATGGCCAAGATTGCGTCTGTATTTTCCCCAAAAAAACACAATCATTTTTCATTCCAAGCACAGTCAAAAATTTAACCCATTGCTCTCAGAAACAGTCATCTCTTTTTGAACTTGCATGTGGTCACTTGAATT